AATTCATATGTGAAATTTGATAGAAATTGAAGAACTTCATATTTTCAGTGCATAAAGTAGGCGAAATAAAGCATAAACGATTTGATGTTCGTGAACATCAACATTGGTGACCAGCAAGCTTCACTTTTTTTCCACTACGAAGTACACGGGCGCTGCGTGCAAGTTTCTGGATGTCACGTGTCTGGATAGCACAAACGATAGGAATATCAAAATCGAATTGACATTATTGTCAAAGCGAATTCATCGGAAAACACTGACTTGAGGTTCGACACAAATGTCAAATTAATTCGCCGATGTGAAGCAACATAACAAAATAAATGAAAATACAAGCAAACAAACATTTTCTAATGATCTTATCTGCGATTAGATTGATTTCCCGAGAATAGTACTTTCCCGAAAATTCTAATTCGCATACTCCGAGCATGTATATGGAGTTTCAATACATTATTTGGTACGGGCGTCTAACTCCATCTACAGATTTTTCCGGTAGTTGTGAATCGAGTAGACATATAACGATTTCAACTATTTTTGGGCGAAATTATCTCGAAAATATACAAAAATGAGTTATTCGTTATGCGAACACTCAAACGGCTACCGGAAATGTACGCGTAAATACACGCACTCGAGTGTATTGTAAATTTGTTATCTAGTAACCATTGCATGTCTACTGAATCAGTGCGTACATTAACTGTAGTCGTTTGAGCGTTCGCATGACAAATAACTCATTTTAGCATACTTTTGAGATAATTTCGCCCAAAAAAGTTGAAACCGCAACTCAATAGAACACAACTGCTGGAAAAATCCGTAGATGGAGTTAGACGTTTCAAATACGTCATGTTCTCGGTATGCTAAATCGTTTCAATGAAATTTATCAATGTTAAATCAATGCATGAAATTAAGAAACAACCAGCTGCATTCAATCCTGGATCCAATTGTTTGTCACTTATAACAAATCACATTACATTCAAATCTGATTTTCGAACATTTCTTTTCTAAATTTATACTTAAAAATCACAGTAGAGATTTTATTTAGAACGAAACAAAATAATACGAAATTATTTAACATTTTTATTCTGACAAAATGTTTGTTTGCTTATATTTTCATTTATTTCGTTTTGTTGCTTCAAATCGGCGAAATAATTTGACATTTGTGTCGAACTTCAAGTCAGTGTTTCCCGATGGTTTCGCGGAAAAAACTTAAAAAAAACTTACAACTTAAAGCGGAATTTTTCCAATTTTCGGTGTATAACTATAACGGTGTGATGCCTGAAATTGCATTCCATGCAGTAATATGTTTAAAACCCATTAGTCTTACCATACTAACGATTCGATATTTGTCGTATGAAAAACGCACAGCCGGTAATGTGACAATAAAATTGGCAAATTTATTTCAGTATTGTTTTTGATGTTTATATTCTAAGTGCAAATAATTTCAAATCGTGGCGTTCAACAAACCGTTTAACGGAAACTTAATCGTGTAATTGTTGAATTTGCTTTGGTCATTTGATCAATTATTTCGTCATTTAGAATAGTCTCGATTATCACCGTCTCTTGGGTTCTCTTCACAGCTGGAAAAATATTGTATGGACAAGTGTTATGTCTTTTTTATGAAAGGAATATATCGGCAGACGAAACAAGCATTCACTCATATGTTAATCACTACTCTTATTTCAGATCCAACATCAGATGTAATGTACTACGAATGAATCTTGCCGTACTTCAGATCGATTGACCTACAGGTGGGCGGAGTAAGAGAGTATAATTCATACTCCTACTCCCATACAAACGGAAAATGAGTATGTCTCGATACTCTTTGAGTATGAGAGTACATACTCAGAGTATATACTCTTTGATTTTGAGTGTATGTCTCGACCTACTCATTTTTTACCCAAAGAGTAACTCTACAACTACTCTTTTTCCTACTCATTTGAGTATGTCTCGACTTACTCATTTTTTTGCGAAAGAGTAACTCTACACTTACTCACTCGTTTTCCCTCCCTCAGAAAAATATATAAAGGATATATAATTTTTTCTGAGGAGAAAAAAAATTGAAAATGAGTATGTCGAGACATACTCAAATGAGTAGGAAAAGGAGTATGAAAAAGAGTTGGTGTAGAGTTACTCTTTGGGTAAAAAATGAGTATGTCGAGACATCCCCAAATGAGTAGGAAAAAGAGTAGGAGCAGAGTTACTCAAATTCAAAGAGTACTTATATACTCTGAGTATATACTCACAAACTCAAAGAGTATCTATGAGTATGAGAGTATGTCGAGACATAATCATTTTCAAAATGAGTGAGTATGAGAGTATATACTCGCGAATTCGCCCACCTGTAGATTGACCCTCCATTCATCGAGCTTTTTTTATTTATTCACACGTTGCTTATGTATTTTGAAACGTCATCCGAACCACTGATAAAATACAAAAAACCCATGTGCATTAACGTGCACACGTTATGCAAGGTAGTACGTAGAACTTATCTTCCCGTCGAAATGAAACAAAAACTATTTAGAACCAATTTACACTTCTATTACTTTTCCGTACACAACGTGTCAAGGGAAAGTATAGGAATTGGTCCCGAAAACTTTTTTAACAAAATTAGCTTAGATCATCATAAAAACTCATGAAACGCGTAGAAAACCACTTTTTGAGACACTTTTCCGTTCGTGTGCCGTCGTTGTCGTTGTCGTTGTCGTCGCAGTCGTAGCTGTTTGTTAACACGATAACTCAAAAAATAATTGAGATAATCAAAATCTGAAAATGCCAAAAGTTTTGTATTCGAATAACTTAGTTTAAGTTCGAAGATGAGCCATTTTCGATTTGATCCTGGGGTACTTGCCCTAAGAAAAACCTCAAAAAATTGACACTTTTGTATGGGAGGTACCTGTAAATCGACTCCGATTGGCTTCAAACTTTCTGGGAATAAAAATAAGATTCTGAAATTTTGAAACCAATCGGAATCGATTTACGGGTACCTCTCATACAAAATGGTCGAAGTTTTAGTTAAAGTGACCGATTTTTCTCTTTATTTTCATTATTATATTTTCACTGCCTTTATTTCAAGAAAATCCACAAAAAATAACCAAAAGTACCTACGTACAACGCAGGCCAACGGTACGGAAAAGTTCGGGATTACCAATGTAATTATTTTTATCTAATTAAGAACTCATAAAATGAAAGCGGAACAATGTTTTTCAACCGCATCGTTTTTACTGCTTCTTCTTCTCCTTTAACACAATGTGGCAATAGAGAATTAGTAATTGTTCTATGTTTGTTCCGTCAAATTCCATGTTTTTCGGAATTGTGTACTTGATTTTAGCTATCGGTGGTAAATAGTTTTTGATTTTTGTTGATGTTTTTTTCCCGCGTGAAAATTTTTTGACTGCCTTAGTCAGTCGATTAATTTGGGACATTCAGTGACTATTTGACAGACTAGAAGTGATTGTCTCCTAGGGGGATTTATCACGAAAAAAATGAATGAATTCTTATAAATTTTGACAAATTTCTTCAATTCGTTCCGATTTGATCCATTTTTGTCAATTCGTGTAAATAAATGTACATTTACACTGAACTTTTGAATTATGCATCAATGAAATTGTTCTGGAAGTGGGTTTTGGAGGATCCCCAGGACTTGCTCCCGGTTCTGGAAGTGGATCTTCAGGATGGGCCAGGGCAATGTCAAACCGGATCTGGTCTATCCTGAGGATCCACCAAAACCCACTTCCAGAATACTTTTATTCAAGCAAAATCGTCATTTCAGTACATTTTCATACAATTTCAATAAAAAAGAAGAAATAATAGAAATTTTTGCACATTTGCTCAAACTTTTTGTGTGAGAAATCCCCCTAGATTGTCTCGACATACAACTGAGTGATTTTTAGTCATTTTATTTGCACACGGGTTGTGCTATTCTTTGTGGGCTGACAGCGTAACCTAAAAATTTCCAAAGTCTCCGTTTCCAGCTCAAGCTGTCAGTCAGTCAAACCGAATAGACTTTTGACGGGCATTATTTGGAAAAATGTTTGGAACTATTTTTTTTTTTCGAAGAAAAAAAAACAAGAAATTCATTTCCACTGTAGACAACATTTTTCGGCTTCGAATTCGGGAAGGAATTTCAAAGTAACTCACGCTTTTCAACCTCGTATATGGAGTCGTTTTTGAGTGACAGTACGAAATGTCGATAACAATATTCATGTTATACACATTTTAAAGAGATTTTCATCACAATAGTGTTGCGTTTTTACCAACTTGACATTCGGTTACATAGTTCAGCTATCCCATAGTACATCCATCCATGGGCAAGGTGCGCCACCAGCGTGAAAAAATATGGCAGTATATGATTAATACACAGCACATTGTGAGTTCGGCATAATATCAGCCTTTCTGATCATGAAAATAGTAAACAATACAGCGCCGCCTGGGGACTAAATGCAATGTGTCATACTTTCAACGTTTGAACTAACACCGATGCGTACTTGTTGTAGCAAACTATGTGCATGATTCTCTATTTGCCCAACCAGTCTCCAGGTGCCACTTTATTATTCTTGTTCCACGTTTCCTATCTGTTTGTACAGAGGCGATCATAGAGGCTGCATAATATAATACAAACCCAAAAAACTCATCTATAAAGTCGAAAAAAGAAATTAAAAATGAATGGAGAAAAATCGCAAAAATTTTGCAAATTCATTGCGGTGCCTTTATTAATAACACTTTGAAAATTACACAGAATAGCCGATCATAAATCATTTCCCTATCGATTACTTAAACTAAATAGGACAAAAACTAAAACTTATTATTCACATATGCAGTTGCAGATGCATGGAGCCTTCTTTTCACAGGGGCAGTATGGAAGTTCTGTTCTTGGATCACATTTCTTCGAAGATTTATGATGTTTACCGCCGAAAAGATGACCGAAGAAATCAGAATCTGAAAATACATACAAGAAAAAACAAATGAAGCTCACACATAGATGTGCCACTTTTCCAAATAAACCTAATGATTAGGTTGTGATTTTTTGTGTCTGGCACATTCTCCTACCGTGTCCTTTTCCACCTTTGCCTCCATTGTCATTATCGTCTGAATCATTTCCATCATGACATCCTAAACCAGAGCCTGAAAAGAGGATGAACATTTGATCTTCCAACGTGAATTAACGAAAATTTTGTAATTTTTGTCTCTTTTTCTTACCGCCGTCTCCGCCTGATCCACCGTCTCCACCGGATCCACCATCACCACCTGATCCACCAGAGCCTATGAATACAAAAACAATTG